ATTTATTTGTTTCTGTATTTATTTATAAATATGGCAGAGTTGGTCCTTCATAGCAGATGACCTGGTTTCTGAATATAAATCAGCCATAAAGCTACGTTCAGACCGCTAGCAGCAGAAGCAGCAGGTTTACATGCAAAGTCAATGGTTGACGCGCATCAAGGTGCAGCAAAAGGTCCCACAGCGTCTCATGAGCATCTGACGCCTGTGACTCAGTTTATTAATGCCGGAATTAACTTAAAATGTAGAAACCTGCCGGCAGAATATGTTCGCTTTTATTATCCTGCTGCTTCCAGTTTTGATTACGTACATGAAAAACGCCTTAAAGCTGCCACCAACAGTAGGGGAAAACCCCCAAGAGGTGAGCGGGCCTGAGGCAGCTGCTGCTGGGGATTCCCGGTGACAGCGCCCCGCCGGTATGTGGGGGTCTGAGCAGCTCCCACAGAGAAATAATCTTTGAAGGTAGGATGGTAATCTGGATGAACTGACTGCACAGACCATGTTTTCAGGAGGACTTTCTCACTTCAACATAGATTCTAACTACTTTTTACCCGCTGATCACAGCTAATATAGCTGCCATTGTTCCAGGAAAAGAAAGGATAGGTCAGCTCCGCCCAACGCGCATCTTTGATGCTCCAGCTGCATGTCAGAAATAAACTTGGACAAGTTTTAAAAATGAAGCAGTACGGGCGTTTCTGCTGCTCCTGCTGTCTGAATGTAGCATTACTCTGAAGGAAATGTTCTGCGTATTTTTTTTCTCTGGTTGCTTTTCAGTTTTTCCCCTCAAGTCGTCTGGTTCCAGACCTGCGACTCTGTCATCGTAACAGTGAAGCTGATGAACCCAGAGGTTCAGCAGTGCGATTTCTACACCGACAGAGTCGTTTACAGGTCAGTCAGGATGGCCGTCTGTCCAAAACTCTCTATGCTAGCTGTGGTTCTCTGTTCAGTGTTCCTGATGAAACTCTGAAGACCAGTTGATAAAAACGTAAGAATGTGAATCTTTTAGGGTTTTATGTTAAGGAGGTTGCTGCCCAGAGCTGGCTGGTTTCTTTAAATCTAACTGCTGTGTGTCCTCCTGAAATACTTCCACAGTAACGATTGTTTTAAAAATGTAAGGAATAGAAAGTACAGATACTTGTGTGAAAATGTAATGATTAGAAGTCAGAAGTAGGAAGAAAAATAAGTAATGGAGTAAAGTATAGATACCTATAAAGTGTACTTAAGCACAGTACCAAAGTATTTGTACTTCGTTATTTGATACCTTTGAGAGGGAGGATTTTAAATTCTATTCTGGATTTAACAGGAAGCCAATGAAGAGAAGCCAGGATAGGAGAGATATGATCTGTTTTAAAAGTATTTTAGATATATTTTAATATATATTTTACTCAAACTCTGATTTAAAGTAGTTTCTGTTGTAATTGTGTCCAGTGGCAGAGTGAACGGTCGATCCTATAGGGCTGACCTGGAGCTTCACCAGAACATAGCCGCTGACGCTTGCCACTGGGAGATGAAGTCCAATCAGCCCATTCTTAAACTGGTGAAACAGGAGCCGGGATACTGGGAGAGACTGGTCAGGGGGAAGGTACTGTAATCCTGTCCAGTGTTGAACAGAAACTTTACTGTTTAACAAGTAATTTTCCTCAACATTGGGCATGAATCCCACAGAATATTTTCGTCAGTTTTGACATGGACCATGTTGATGAAAAGGAAGATGAGTCATCAGGCGGTAAGACAGAGAATGTCTGAAAAAGGAGAGCTGTGATGTCCTCCTGGAGCCGCTGCAGATGATTGCTTTGTTTTATTTCCAGGACTGCGGTTTGTTGAAAGCCCTGAAGCAGGAAGCTGCTACTTGAGCTCTGACAGCGACAGCGACTGAAAGCCAGACTTTGTCTCCTTATTTACATTCATATTTTAGACATCTTTCAGTCCTTATGTTGCTTTGGTTTGACTCTAGTTCTTTAATTACATTTGAAGGATTTTTCAGTTTAATAAATGTTTAAAATCCTTTATCCTTCATCTTTTTTCATTAAAAGTTCATAAATAAAGAGTTGAATGTCGATTTGTTCTGTTTGGCTTGGTGTTTATTTAATTTAATTTATTTCTATAGCATCATTTCACATCATGTCATCCCAAGGCACTTTATAGATACAATTCAACCAGATCATCCAGTCAGATTGATTAAAAGTTTTCTATCTAAGGTAAACCAGCTGATTGCATCGACTCATTGACTCTTCAGCAATCCCTCACACTAAGCATGCCTGCAGCGACAGTGGAGAGTAAAACTCCCTTTGAACAGGAAGAAACCTCCAGCAGAACCAGGCTCAGTGTGAGCGGCCATCTGCTGAGGCCGACTGGGGTTCAAAAAGACTGAAACAGACATAGAAAAAGAATCATAGATACAAAAGG